TATTTCTGTATTATATGCTCAAAAATACAATGATATGCATATTATTTTATATAGTAATTCTAAAAATCAGTTAGGAGAATAAAATAGAATAAATATGTACTTATACTATGTTTTATAATTGCATGATTACCTTTATTGGTCTCTGTTTTTTATTTGGATTTTAATTACTGTCTGGAATTACTTGCTCTCAGCCTGAAGATACAAATATTCCTTAAGAATATCTTGTAAAATAGGTCTGACAGCAACAAATTCTCTAAGTTTTATTTATCTGGTAATGTCTTTATTTTTACTTTATTTTTGAAAGTTAATTTTGCTGGATATATGATTTTTTTTTGACAATTATTTTTTCTTTTAGTGTCATGCATGAGGTTTCCGGCCTCCATTGTTTCTGATGAGAATCAGCTGTTATTATTAATAAGGATTCCTTGTATGTGAAGAATTGCTCTTCTCTTGCTGCTTTCAATATTTTCTCTTTGTCTTTCAACATTTTTACCATAATGTATCTTGGAGTGAGTGAATCTTTTTTTTTTTTTATTGTACTCGAAGTATATTGGGTTCCTGGATGTGTAGTTTGATAACTTTCATCAAATTCAGGAATTTTTCAGCCATTATTTCTTTAAATATTTTTGCTCTACTCTCTTTCTACTCTTTCTAGTAGTCCTAATGGTATTCTACATTTCTCTGAAGATCCATTCATACCTTTATTTCTTTAAGCATGGTTTTCTTTAACCCTTTGCACTTATTTATAATAGCTGCTTTTAAGTCTTTGCTAGGTCCTACATCTTAGCCCTCTTTTGGGTAGTTTCTGTTGTCATATTATTATCTCGTGTGTGGTTTACTCTTTCTTCTTCTTTTGTAAGTCTCATATTTTTTGTCGAAAATTATTTTTTATATATTTTTGATAATATATTGTAGCAATTCCAGATACTGATTTTTTCCTACCAACTATACTTTGTTATAATTATTACTTTATATAATTTTATATCTTATAAAGAAGGCAAGAGAAGAAAAGAGAGCAAGTGTATATTTATAGAGTTTTAAAATATATTAAATTTATTTGTATAATCTCTCTTAGACATTGTTGTTACTGTTGTTGTTTGTTGATTTGCTTACTCATCTGCCTGGACAATTTTAGTAAATTCTGTTTCTTGCTGTGGTGTGAATCCTCTGATGTCGCTCCTCAGAGGGCACATTCTAGCGCAGAGCGATAGTCACCCTCGAATTACAGTGGTTTTAGCAGGGCTCTCTGGTGGCCTCTTTCTGGGTTTCTCTGTTAAGCTGCTTGCCTCGCTTGATATCACACCCAGCTGTGAGGCTCCACTAATTGCAGGCTGATTGCTTTACTGGTTTTTGACAATGCTCTGGGGCATAAATTGCTTCACAGTTTGATACAATTAGGGCTCCTTCATTGGAGTAATTTCTGAAGCAAGTCATGGAAGTGTGTTTGGATCCCAGAAGAGCTCTTCTTGGCTCTTCTCCCTGGTTCTTTCTAGTATCTAGCTGGCCTACAGTTTAACTGATGCTGTCATGGAGCTACCAGCCTCCTTTTAATGGCTTACAACCAAAATCTCCATTGTTTTTGAGAGTCCTCTTAGGCTTGAATTTTCCTACACTCCATTCCAAATAACATAAGTTCCCTTGGGGAGAGCTTTGAAGCCCTCTGTTCTCCTTCGGCTTGCTTCTCCTCCTGAGCAAAATTTTTAGGCCACTGCTCTGGAGCTGCGGGTGGGGACAGTGGCGTGCTTCTCTTGAGTGACATTCCTGATTTATGAGTAGGGTGCTGGGTGGAGTCAGTCGCCTCTATCCTTTTATTGCCTCCCTAGACATGGACACTTCACTTTATCAGCATGCTCAGGCGACGGCAGTCAGGACCCCGGTATTCTTAGCCTGCTACACCTGAGCTGGAGCTTCCATGAGAGAGGGCTGGGTGGAGGAAGGGAGTCCCTGACTTCTTGGCCACATTCACTGCAATTTAGCTTCTGCAACCTGAAGCTGAAAGGGGATGAGAAAAGCTGGTGGCCACCTCTCCTACAGAGACAGAGTAGACCTTAACTGCGAACTGGGAGGAGAGGGTGCCCCATCTTATTGACCAAATTCCATCAGAGTGATGCCTCCATAATGCTGAGCTGGGAAAGGGAGCCAGGGAGAGGGTCACNTAAACATTAAGAAAGTAACAGGAAGGAAATAATCAAAGATAAGCATAGAAGGTTATAAAAATGAAGATATAACAGAATGTATAAGCTTTAAAGCCAAGAATTTCTTCTTTGAAAAGTCAAAGATCAGTAATAAATAGAGTAAACAAGCAATATTACATATATAAAAGTGGCATAGCTAGAGATATATCTAAGATTAAAAATAATAAAAAATAACAAACCATTTATGATAATATATCTATAGGTTTAAAGTTAAAATTTTAATTAAAAATAAATCTTATCAAAATTGGTTTCAGAAATAAGAGAAAAGTCAAATAGACATAAAACAATTAATAAAATTGGTATACTCTCTAGTGAACCAATCAGGGATTAGAGTTTTCTTCGTGGGAGGATTTACATTTGAGGAATAAATTATTTCAATATAATGAAAGTTATTTCAGAGTATAGAAAAATAAGAATGACCTTCCAAAGTGAGACAGAAAAATTGCTTGTTGATAACACTAACATACAACATGCAAAAGTCCTAAACAGAATACAAACAGACTAGATTTAGCAATGTATTATAGAAAAGATGATACATTGAAATCTGGTTGTACTTACAGGCATATGTTTGGTTTCATTTTTTGACAATCTACTACAAAATTTAATAAATTAGCTGTTTAAAAAAGAAGCATGCCATTGCAACAGATACAAATGAAGTCTTTGAAAAGTCATTATTCATTTACATTAAAAAAAATCTTAGCAAACTAGGAAACATAAGAAATTTTTAAAACTGATGAGGGGCATCTAAAAAAATTGACAGCAAATGTCACTTCATGGTAGAAACTTAAAATTATTTACATTAAGATTAGGAATAAGAGAAGAGTTTACTTAAGACATAACCAATACAGTAAAGAAACACAAAAAAAGAAATGAAGAAAGGAAGGAATGAAGGATGGAAAGAAGAAAGGAAGGAAGGAATTCAGAGAGACTATGACTTAGGAAGGGAAAGACAAACTACATCTTGGGTTATCTGATTTTTTGTTGTTGAGTTGTAAGAGTTTGTTATATGTTTGGATACTAATCCCTTATCAGGTGCATGATTTGCAAATATGTTTTCTATCCCATAGATTGCCTTTTCACTTTGTCAATTGTGCCACAATAACTTAAAAAGTTCATCCATGTTGTAGCAAACATCAGCACTTCATCCCATTTTGGGGTGAATAATATTCCATTATAAGGATATACCACATTTTACTTAACCATTCACTGACTTTCGTTGTTTACACTTTTTGAACATTATGTATGATACCACTGTACACATTCATGCACAAGTTTGTTGTTGTTGTTTTGACAGCTGGCTGGCGTGGGGATCCAAACCCTTGACCTTGGTGTTATGACACCACACTCTAACCAACTGAGCTAACTGGCCAACCTTATGAGTAAGTTTTTGTGTGGACAATTGTCTTCAATTCTCTGGGTAAATGCCTAGAAGTGTAATTGCTAGGTCATATGGTAACTCTATGTTCAACCTTTTGAGGAGCTACCAGTCTGTTTTCCAAAAAGACTGCACAGATTTGCATTTTCACCAGCAGTGTATGAGGGTTTCAAATTCTCCATATACTTCCCAACACTTGTTACAATTTCTGTTTTTAATTATACCCATCCTAGTGATTGTGAAGTGGTGTCACCTTGTGGCTTTTATTTGTCATTTCCCTGATGACACATGATGTGGAGCATTGTTTCATGGTCAGTTGCTTATCTTCTTTGGAGAAAAATATATTTACATTCTTTGCCCATTTTTAATTGGATTTTTATTATTGAGCTGTAGTAGTTCTTTATATATTACAGATATGTGTATTTTCAAATATACAATTTGCAAAAATTTTCTCCCATATTGTGGGTTGTCTTTTCACTCTCTTAATAGTATTCTTTGATGTAAAGGCTTTCAATATCAATTAAGTCCATTTATCTATTATTCCTTGTTTGCTTGTGTTTTGGTATCATCCTAAGAAGGCTTTGCCTGATTCAAAGTCATGAAGACTTATGCCTATTTTTTCTTCTAAGAGTTCTATAGTTTTAGATCTGACCTTTGGGTACTTGATCTATTTGTGTTAATTTTTGTATATTTCATTTTATGTTTTTTACTTTTCATTTTATCATGTTGTTTTCACTCCTCTATATCTCCTTTACTGTTTTTCTTTGCATTAGTTGAATATTTTCTATTATAACATTTTAATTATTTAATGTTTTTCATAGTACTTTTTGAGGTATTTTCTTAATGGTTGCTCTTTGGTTTATAGTACATGTCTTAGAGGAATCTACCTGTAACTTAGTTCCAATGAGATATAGAAATGTTACTGGTGTATAGTTCTATTCTCTCCATCTTTTCTATGTTATTACTTCACATAATAAAAAAAGCTAACTATCCACATATGGTAAAAAACTCAACAATACATTACTATAATTACTATTTAATATATTGTATATTTCTGAAGGAGGTAGAGTGACAAAATAAGTATATTTGGAGTGAGTTTTTAAAAATTTTAACCTTCGTATTTACCATTTCTGGTTTCTTCATTTGTTTTGGGGGATTCTAGTTATCATCTGTTGTCACTTCTTTACCCTAATCTGGCTTTGTTCCTGACTGCTTTCTTTGTGCTTCTATTGTCAAATTTATTCTATTTCTGTATTATATGCTCAAAAATACAATGATATGCATATTATTTTATATAGTAATTCTCAACCCTTGGCTTGGTGTTGTCAGCACCACGCTCACCCAGTGAGCTAACCGGCCATCCCTATATGGGATCCGAACCCGTGGCCTTGGTATCATTAGCACCACACTCTCCTGAGTGAGCCAAGGGCAGGCCCCAAGAACCTGATTTTAGATGTTAGAGATGAGGGACTCGGTCTCTTGGGGTGGGGTCAGACTCTGGTTTGGGAGTCTGACTCACTGTTGGGCGTGGCCAGAGCCTCCTGGATTGGAGCCAGAGCCTCCAAGAGTGAACCCTGAGACAGTGAGGGTAGCTCAAGGGGCTCAGAGCCTGGAGCCCGTCCTTCTAGTTGCTGGATCTGGTCCTCACAGGGCGGGCTCATTGCTTCAAGAGAGGGAGCCAGGACTTCAGGGGGCGGAGTTCCGGATTCCATGGCTGGGTCAATGCTGGCAGGAGCAAGGTCCCCGGACTTGTAGAAGCGCGCGAAGGTCTCCGAGGGCCTGGCGCCGATCTGCGGGGCAAATCCGGCCGCCTGAGCTAGCTCCCCGACCCGGGTGGCGAACCCCTGCAGCTGCTCCTGCCTCAGGTCCACCAGGTACCTGCAGCCGGGAAGCGACCTGTTAGGGACCCAATTTCGGCCCCCAGCCCAGATGTTCCCTGCCCTGGGATTTTCTGGCTCACCGGGCTAACTCCACAATCAGATTCCCTCCAGGGGCCAGGCAGGCCCCGAGCTCAGGGCTAAGAAGCTGGACCATTCTGAAGACAGGAAAGAGGAGAGGCTTAGATTCAGGCTCCCAAGTCCTCAGGAAGGAGAGGGGCTGGGGACCCATACACTGAGTGAAGAGGGGGCTGTGAAACTGGAGTCCTGGCTCTGGAGGAAAGGGGGCAGGAGGTCTGGCCTCCTGCTTCTTTTTGTTTGTTTTTTGGCGCTGGCTGGTATGAGGATCTGAACCCCTCCCTGATGGACTCTCAGTTCTGAGGCAGGAAGGGCGGGCTTGATGGTCCTCGGTCCCTGTGAGCACGTGTGTCTCCTCTTACCCACAGGCCACATACAGAAGCTGGAACCGGCCCTTGTAGCAGCTCTTGTGGTGGAGAGTCTGGGCGGAACCGAGGGACAGGAAGTGCACAGTGAAGGATTCCGGGGCGGGGGCTGCTGGGGAAGGGCAAAAAGGGGTCGTCTTTGGATAGTGGAGCCAGGAGAGGCAGAAACCCAGAGGGACAAACATAGAGACAGGCAGAGTTGGGCAGACACACAAAGTGTGGAGACAACACTCCTTGTGCTTCTTAAAGCCCTTCTTCATCCTTTCTCTGAGGTGAATTCCTGGAAAATTCTGGAAAGGTCGGACCTACCTGCAGGCAGAGAGGCATTTTACAGACCAGGCTCCTGAGACTTAAGAGAGCGAAAGAGTGGCTGGTTGGTCCGGGGATACACGGGCGTCCCCCGTAGAGTGGGACAGACTCGGCTCAAGTGCCACAAACTCTCAATGTTCTTACCAAAATTTAATAGATTTTCTCGAAGAAATGTTCTTCATTAGCTGAATTCCCTTAAGACAATTTTCAGAGACTTTATATGTCTGTTCCTTTTATAATTTTTAGCAATTATAGTTATTTTACTCAGAAGAGGATCTGCATAGGTCCTCACACCACCATTCTGGTTGTTGTCTTCTTTGGGAAATTCTTTTGCAAGACAGAAAAAAGCACAAGCCACAAAAGAAAAAAATACATTTAAATGCATTAAAAAGCTCAAGTGCCACAAACTCTCAATGTTCTTACCAAAATTTAATAGATTTTCTCGAAGAAATGTTCTTCATTAGCTGTATGCCCTTAAGACAATTTTCAGAGACTTTATATGGCTGTTCCTTTTATAATTTTTAGCAATTATACTTATTTTACTTAGAAAAGGATCTGCATAGGTCCTCACACCACCATTCTGGTTGTTGTCTTCTTTGGGAAATTATTTTGCAAGACAGAAAAAAGCACAAGCCACAAAAGAAAAAAATACATTTAAATGCATTAAAATTAAGAAATTCTCTTGACTAAAATAAAGCATAACAACAGTAAAAAGATAGGTCACAAATTCAGAGTTTATAAAAATTAATATAGCCAACAAAGAACAGGTGTGTAGAATATATTAGGAGCCTGCATAATCAATAAAGATAATTCAATGGAAGAAAATTAATAGATGTGAATTGACAATTTGTGGGAGCAGAAAGTGAAATGGTCAAAACAGTCCTACAAACACTCAATCTAAGTAATTATCTGGGTAATTCAAATTAAAATCACTGTGAGGCAGTGTTATGCACTTATCAGGTTAAATGTTTTATGAAGAACCTTTAGTACCCAGATTGTAGACTTTAAATACCATTTGCCACTGAGAGAAACCAGGGCTCCTTGGGGAAGTAGATGACTTCAGCTCTGGACCCGGACAGATATAAGATGAGCATGGAATAATCTGTCATAGGAGATAACAAGGAAGGTATCACAACTGTCAAAGAGAGTCAGGATCCAGCTCAAGGAGACTCCACCGGCCAAAGTTGAGAAATCTGAGCATGAGAAAGAACAAGAACTGAAATAGATCAAATATATGTAAATTCATGAGCTCTTAGAATTATTTTATCATTGTGAATTCAAAATAATAAAAAAGTAAGTTATGGGTCTTCACTGAAGAATGGTTGGAAACCAGCAGTTTTTTCAAGAACTGGTAGATAAACTAGTCATCTTTGTCTCCTCTTTGCTGTATGAACTCTACCACTAAGTGACTCAATAGTAGAGGAAGGACAAGTTTCTCTTTGTGGAAGTATTCCAGCTATTCAATTAAGAAGGAATAAGAGAAGTAGAATGCACCATTTTGCAGCACCAAATGAATTACGAATATAGAGATTGAGCACCGGCTGCTAAAATCACGAGTCAGACAAGCAGAAGGTATAATGGAAAAACACAATACCGACCCTGAAGTCTGTAGAGCTAACTAGAAATTTACAGGAATATGTCAAATGACATCATGGAGATGCAGTCATCAAAATCCAGTTTCAACATGAATTCTACAGGACAAAACATCTAATTTCTTTAACAAGTAAAAGGGCAGGGGTGGGGTGGGTGCTGGGGAGAAAATGGAGAGGGAATTTATAGACTAAAAAAGATATAACAGGCACATCAACCAATAGCAATACGTGGATTTTACTTGTTACTGGTTAAAACAGACTGTTAAAAATGTTTGTGATGATAATTTTGAATGTTACAACCACAAAGAAGTGATAGATGTTCAGGTGATAGATATACTAACTATTCTGATTGGATCCTTAAACAACATATGCATGTATTGAAACAACAAATTGTACCCCATAAACATGTGCAATGAAAAAAAAAATGAAATAAAAAACCCCACAAACTAAAACTTAACAATGCAGTTTTAGGGAATACAAAGAGCCAGGTGCGTGGCATAGATTATAAACATCATTATCATTTTAGGAAATAAAAAATAACTTGAAAGCTAAAATAAATGTTTACAATGATAATGACACTATTGAATATTTGCTGTTAAGAAATTATTTTTTTCATGTGTAGTAATGGCGTGGCAGTCATTTTTTAAAAGACTCCTTATAGGTTTAATATAATAAAATATTTACAGATTAAATTATAATGATGTCTATGCCTGAGGTTTGTTTAAACATAATGTGATAGGGGAAGTGGATAGAAATTAAACGATATTGTCTGAGATGATAATTCTATAAGGCCCATTATTCCATTCTATTTTTTAAGGTGTGAAATTCTCTTTTAAAAACCGTAAAAGGTTTTGATAATACCAAAACCTAATAAAGATTTGGAGCAACTAATACTCATAGACTGCTAGGAAGAGGGGAAATGGGTTCACTTTGGGAGTAGAAAGACAGGAACCTCTAGTACATTTGAAGATGGGGAGAACCTACAACCAAGCAATTCCGCTCCTGTGCATGTGATGTCTGCAAAGGCACTCTCACAGACGTGCACAGAGACAGGCAAGGTATTTTCAGAGCAGCACATATTTGTGTGTGCCAAAAATTGGAAGAAAACTTGATGTCTATCAACAGGAGAATAGACAGATTGTGGTATATTCCTCAAATGCATTTCAATAGAGCACTTAATGAGCTATAACGACATAAATCAACTTTGATGACTCTCACAGACACAATTCTTAGGTGAAAAAAAGTAAAAGCAAAAAGACAAGTTTTAGACAAATCCATATATTTTATATAAAGCTTCAAACATATTTAACAATCTTATACCCATACATATAGGAATAATTGCTGATGCCATAAAATTACAATAATATGCAAAGGAATGACAGGTATCAAATCACGGGAAATGGGTACCTGTCTGGCAGAGAGAAAATGTGTTTGAGTGGGGTGTAAAATGGGCTCCAAATGTATTGGTAATGCATTAATTGTTATGCTGAGTTGTGCACATGTTGCAAGGGTTTATATAACATTTTGTATGTCTGAAGTTTCACAATGTAAAAATGTTAAAATGAGTAAAGGAGCCAAATAAAGGTTATGAGCATTGTGGAGTAAGAGCAGGAGAGAAGCAACGCAGACCCAGCCTGGACAGTCCAAGGAAGCTCCATGGTGAGGAGATCTTTGTAGTGATTCTGGAAGGATAAAAATGAAATGAATGCTTTTTTTCTGAGAGACAGCAACAGAAAGAATTTCAGAGTATGTGTCATTTTTTGTAGGGTGTGCAGACCAAATCCAGGCAGCTAATTTTTTTAATAGCCAGGGAGTTAGGAATGGTTTTTACATTTTTAGAGGGTTATTTATATTTTAAATGGTGTCTTAATCTATTTGTACTGGTATAACAAAATACCCAGGCTTCGTAATTTACAAACAATAGAAATTTATTTCTCACATTTCTGGAAGCTGGGAAGTCCAAGATCAAGGCACTGGCAGGACTGGTGTCTGGGGAGGGCTGCTCTCCGCTTCCTAGATGGTGGCTTGCTGCTGCATCTTCCAGAGGGAGGATCGCTGTGTCCTCACATGTTGAAGGGACAGAAGGGCAAAAAAGCTCTCCTCCCTTCAACCCTCAGCCTTTTTATAAGGGTGCTAATCCCTCCCAAAGCCACACCTCAATACTGATGCATGGGAGATTGTTTCAACATGAATTCTGAAGGACACACCATCATCAAAACCATAGCAAAAGGTTATTAAGTATCCACATAGTATACTCAGTTTTATTTCTGAGTTTTTTTATGATCTGGTACTTTAAGAAAACATTTGCTGAGCCCTGGAACTTTAAATATTTGTTTCCCAGTAATTCTGGGTATATTTTCCTGGTGCGGGTACAGAAACAAAAAATACTCTTTTATAAAACTTCTTATGGCCTCAAGGGAGTAAATGCAGTTTTATGTTAGGCAGTGGCAAAAAAAAAATAACAAAGCAGAAATATAACTAAAACTACCTTAAATGAAAGGAGTGAATTATTTGCTGATAGAGTTTGGATGTGTCATCCCCCCAAAACTCATGTGGAAATTTGATCCCCAAAGTGACAGTGTTGGAAGCTGTTTGAGTCATGGGGGTGGATCCCTCATGAATGGATTAATGCTCTTCCTGGGGGGTGAGGGTCCTGAGTAAGATCTCACTCTATTAGATCCCATGAGAGCTGGTTGTTTAAAAGACCCTGGCACCTCCTCTCTCTCTCTTGCTTCCTCTTGCCATGTGATCTGCTTGTACCCACTGGTTGCCTGCCACTTTCCGCCATGAGTAGAAGCAGCCTGAGGCCTCTACCCTATGTAGCTGTCCCAGAATCATAAGCCAAACAAACCTCTGTTCTTTATAAATTACCCAGTCTCAGGTATTTCTGTTATAGCAACACAAAATGGACTAATACATTTGCTTATGAGCTGAAAGTCCAGGGTAATGACTTCAAGGCACAGCATGATCCAAGTGCTCAATGATATCATAAGAATTCTCTCTCTGTGTCCATAGGCTGCTTTCCTCTGTGTTGACTTCACTCTCAGGCAGGCTCTACAGCTCTGATGGAAAAGATGGCCAACAGCAGCTCCAGTTTGTAACTGAGCCGTTGTGCAATGTCTCCTTCACGGTTGTTCCAGGAAATGTCCAAGAATATATATTCCTTATCCTGGCTCGAATCAAGTACCCTCCCCTAGATCTGGGAGTGGTTATTATATCTCCTTGAAAAACATGGCCCCAAAATATAGTAGGTGATTTTTCTAGAGGAAAATTATAGGATAGTTACACAAGAAGAAACAATACAGGGTAGTCAAAACCCTTCCGATGCTCTCTTTTAACTCTGGCGGACAGTGTTTTTTGTTTACCCAACAGTTATCTCACCTCTCTTCCCACCTCTGCCTTGAGATCCCAGGGCTAATGATAAACTGACTCTCCACCTCTCTTTGGATAAAATAAATTTTTCTGTATTTCCTATTTAGTCTGC